GTCTCAGTTCAAATATAGCCTCTGTTATGATGAGCCAGGCCCTCAATCGACCCTTCTTCATTCCCGGTGTCGTCGGTCAGGAGTGGAGTCCCGCGGCAACTCCGCTGTCCACTTGTCTCATACCGCCCTTTAACGGCTCGAATGAAATCGGCCGGCCCTCCGGTTCAAGTGCTCTCCAGTTCGCCTCCCCGACTAGCCTTATCGCAACTTCAGCGGCTTCCTTGCCCTCCATGTCACCAATACCCTTTGCCGGCTTCTCTAGTTATATGCCGTTTCAGGGTGGTGTCCGGAACACCGAACCGGCGGTTGTGAATACGGAGCAACGAGTTTCGATGGCCTTTACCGCTCCATCTGTCAGACAGCCGCTTTCGTCAGTAGAAACGGTTCAGAATGAAATCCAGGTTCGTATCTGCCCATACTATTTTGCGTATTTTGCTAATTTATGTCTATTGAGAGCACGACCGCTGGACACTAGTGTCTGTCGTTCTACTTTCTCTCGACCTAAGCGTCCTAGAATTCCAGTGCATCTCCAAGGCCTCAGGAAGTAGTTCTCGGATACTAACTTCTCCATGTTCTTAGTTAATTTTTTTGATTCATTGCAGTAGTCTCACTGATGAGACGGTTATACCGCGTGTCACTCCCCTTTCGAACATAGTCTCCTGTACAATGCCAATTTAATGTAATACTTAAACACAAGTAACCTGGTTGATGTACTGTATTTAGCCTTAGACGTATCTACTGACAAACTGAGATGGCCGCTTCCGACTTATTTGCATTTGTCCTCTAGCCAGACTCACAATATATATGCCACTTGCCTGTTTTTTCCTTAAAGCTTACCCATTCTTGCTTCCTTGTCGCCGTATGGCCATCTGTGAGGGCCTCGGCCTGGACCCAAAAGCGAGGCATAACGCCCGTATTCCGTTCCGCAATTAAGATGTGTCGACAAGCGCAACTCTTGCACGATGGCCTTACAAATGACGGTTGACTGTGCAGTCCCATCGTATTTTTCTGGCGTGACTTGCGCATCATCAATCGCTAAAAATATGTAGCTAATTAGGGAAGTGTCTGGCGTTATTGCTACCGTGGACGCCTTGGTGCAATCAGAATTGCTCGCAGGTTGCCACATGACCGGTGGTCCTAGCAATAAGTAGGGAGGAGTCCATTGCACTCTATTCCCATTTGTCTGTTCTACTGACCCTTGTGACAGTCAATATAAAGGATTGGAGCCCATCTCCACAAAACACCACCGGTGCGAATAACGTCCTCGAGACTTATTTCTTGACATTTCATTTCAAACGCCTCATTATTATTTAACTTGTTCTCCACAGTCGCAGGCCCCG